TGACCCCCTCATCTTTGGGGCAGCCCCTCAGAGACTGGAAGACTGCCATCACGTCACCCCTGCTCCTTCTTTACTCCTACGCAAATCCTGCCACCGTTCTGGTCTCCAGGCCTTTAATCATCTCAGTTGCTCTTCTTTTACACTTTCCCCAGAGTCTCAACCTCTTTTCTATACAATGTCGGGAAGTGCTTGGTTCAAGAGGAACATCCCAGCCAGGCCTGGAGGAACTGAGTAAAGGAAACTCCAGTGGGACAGCTGTGGAGGGACCGTTCAACTTTCCCATGACAAATCCAGAGTTGTTGTTCGTCCTTGGCCGAGCGCCTACTGACGCCTGGGTGGGGAGGGGTTGCCCCTTATCCCTGTTGGCTAATCAGACCTTGGGAGGGGAGCTGATGTGCCAGAGGCAGTCTCTTGTGCTATTCTGGAACATACCAAGGGATCCACCCTGTTTCACTCCCCGAGCACAGGGTCCCGAGAGCAAATTCTGGTCCTGAGCAGGACCCATGTCTTTGCACCGTTCTGCCCAGATCTTTAATTTGCAAAAGCTCCCTATTTTTTGCTGTGTCCTCGTTCTTTGACGCATTCTCCCCTTCATTCGAGTGGGCAGGAGGGGCAACCCACACTGGACCATGTGAAGGGAACGGAAAGCTGCTTCCTGTCTTCCAGGAAGCGACCTGTTGTTGTTGTTAATTGCGAAGTCGTGTCCGACCCATCGCGACCCCATGGACAAGGTTCCTCCAGGTCTTCCTGTCCTCTACCATCTTCTGGAGTCCATTGAAGCTCATGCCTCCTGCTTCAGGGACTCCATCCAGCCACCTCCTTCTCTGTCGTCCCCTTCTTCTATTGCCCTCCATCTTTCCCAGCATCAGGCTCTTCTCCAGGGAGTCCTTCCTTCTTCTCATTAGGTGGCCAAAGGACTTGAGTTTCAACTTCAGGATCTGGCGTTCTCAAGAGCAGTCGGGGTTGATCTCTTCTAGGACTGACCGGTTTGAACGCCTTGCAGTCCAAGGGACTTGCAGGAGTCTTCAGGAAGCGACTAGATGCACGTAACCAGACGCTGCACTTCGGCTGGGTGAGGATTGAAAAATTGTGGAGTCTTTGGTGCTCTCTGAGCTGGGTGGTTTTCTTGCAGACATTTCATGACCCAAACTAGGTAACATCATCAGCGCTAGAAGGAAGGAAGGAAGGAAGGAAGGAAGGAAGGAAGGAAGGAAGGAAGGAAGGAAGGAAGGAAGAGGAGGAGGAGGAGGAGGAGGAGGAGGAGGAGGAGGAGGAGGAGGAGGAGGAGGAGGAGGAAAAAAATGATGGGGTCCTTGGTGCTCTCTGAGTTGGGTGGTTTTCTTGCAGACGTTTCATGACCCAAATTAGGTAACATCATCAGTGCTAGAAGGGAGGAGGAGGAAGAGGAGGAGGAGGAGGAAGAGGAGGGGGAGGGGGAAGAGGAGGAGGAGGAGGAGGAGGAGGAGAATGACTGTGGGGTCCTTGGTGCTCTCTGAGTTGGGTGGTTTTCTTGCAGACATTTCATGACCCAAACTAGGTAACATCATCAGTGCTAGAAGGAAGGAAGGAAGGAAGGAAGGAAGGAAGGAAGGAAGGAAGGAAGGAAGGAAGGAAGGAAGGAAGGAAGGAAGGAAGGAAGGAAGGGGAGGAGGAGGAGGAGGAGGAGGAGGAGGAGGAGGAGGAGGAGGAGGAGGAGGAGGAGGAGGAGGAGGAGGAGGAAAAAAATGATGGGGTCCTTGGTGCTCTCTGGGTTGGGTGGTTTTCTTGCAGACGTTTCATGACCCAAACTAGGTAACATCATCAGTGCTAGAAGGAAGGAAGGAAGGAAGGAAGGAAGGAAGGAAGGAAGGAAGGAAGGAAGGAAGGAAGGAAGAAAGGAAGAAGAGGACGAGGAGGTGGAGGAGGACTGTGGGGTCCTTGGTGCTCTCCAAGCTGGGTGGTTTTCTTGCAGACGTTTCATGACCCAAACTAGGGAACATCATCAGTGCTAGAAGGGCATGGGGTTTGTGGAGTGGAGAAGGAATTGAATTGAATAATCTTTATTGTCCTTTTCTTGCATACACTGTGGCACACATCAAAATGAAATTCCGATGCACCACTCTCGAAAGAGAAAAACGACACCCATCAATGTATAAACATCCCCAGGATAATTATAACAATAATAATATAATAACCAGCAGCACCCCAAAGTGCCAAATTAGACAAAAATGACACCAAGACAGGAGGAGGAAGAGGAGGAGGAGGAGGAGAACTATGTGCTCCTTGTTGCTCTCTATGCTTGGTGGTTTTCTCACAAGGTCACCTCATTTCTTGCAGACGTTTCATTACCAAACTAGGTAACATCATCAGTGCAGTGATGTTACTAGTTGGATCATGAAATGTCTACAAGAGAACAACCCAGCTCGGAAAGCATCAAGAATCCCACAGCCCTCCTCATCCTCCTCTTCCTCCTCTCCACAAACCTCCCCCCCTTCTAGCACTGATGATGTTCCCTATATGGGTCACGAAACGTCTGCAGGGAAATCACCCAGCTCAGAGATGCACCAGGGACCCCACAGTTCAACCCTGAACTTTAAATATTCTTTTCTATCACGACTGCAACAGCCCAGCCACGCAGACTTCGCATTCAAGCCCCGCTCGGATCTGAGACGAACATTGACAGGAGATTGAGGAATGAAGGCAAGAGAAGAGCAAAAAAAAGAGAGAGAGAGAGAGAGAGAGAGACATGGCTGAAAAGAGGAAGACAAAACCAAACCAAAACCAGGACCGGATCAAAATGCAACGTGACCAATTTGCCCACCCCAAAAGCGACAGCTAGAAAAATAAACAGGCTGCGTTCAGGAACCCCAGAATTTGGTCAGTTGGGAAGGTTTTCTAGACCTCATGAAGTTGGAATCGACCGTCTAAATCAGTGGTTCTCAACCTTTTTAATGCCGCGACCCCCAACCGGTCGTAAGTCGAGGACTACTCAACCGGTCGTAAGTCGAGGACTACTCAACTGGTGCAGCACCGTTTGCAGAATGGGACTTTGGCGGGCTCAGCAGGGCAGAGAAGCCTGGACAATTCCTATTGGCTTTTGAAAGCCAATAGAATTAGACTCTATTCAAGAGAGTCTCTTCTATTGGCTTTCAAAAGCCAATAGGATAAAAGGGAGTAGCACAGCTAAGGAAAAAGGGGAAAAAAATGGCGGACTGTGTTGTTTGGCGACCCCAGTGAAATGGTCGTTTGACCCCAAATGGGGTCCTGACCCACAGGTTGAGAACCACCGGTCTAAATGGAAAACAGTCTTTTCATTCCACTCGTGCAACGGTATTAAAAGAAATTCCACCTTGGGGGGGGGGGAAACGGTTGGCCTTGGCTTACAAAGACACCCAGGATGACATAATGAAAAGAGGCATTTTGCAATTGCAGATGCAACATTTTATGCACCTCCAGCAAATTCTGCAAAAACGTGCATTAGCCCTGTCGCGCTTAAAAGACAACCTTGCAAGGTGGGAAAACAGCGCCCCCCCCACTCACCCATCAGAGGCCTAAGGAACTCAGTCAGGGCCCCCACTCAGCCAGTTCCCAACCAGACAAGATTTACACCAACTTCTCTATATCTGCAGGGGTTGCGCTCCCATCTCCTGTCTCTCTACAGCAGGGGTCTTCGAACTTGGCCACTTGGAGACTTATGGACTTCAACTCCCAGAGTTCCTCAGCCAGCCATGCCTGAGTTGTTGTTTTTTACATCCTACTAAAGCGGAGAGGTTACAGAGGAAGGGATTACAAGAGGGTAAACGAAGGCTGGCTGAGGAATTCTGGGAATTCTGAGGAATTTCTCCCTGGAGTCGCACCACCTGGATGGGCTATGTCTGACCTCCCCCCCCCACTGCATTCCCGTGACCCTTCCTCCAAGCCCCCCCCCTCTGCTGTCTCTTTGGGATAGCAGGAAGGGCGGCATATAAATTAGTTACATATACATAAATAAATATGCTAAATAAACTAAAAAAACCCCACATACGTAAGTTTGCCAAAGAAATTTGCTAAACGAATAAAATTTGTTAAAATAAACGAAGAGGTGCTAGATCAGCAAGTGTGCTAAATAACAGAGGAATAGATGTGCTAAATCAGTAAACCAGTGAATTTGCTAAAGAAATCCACCAAAATAAATAAATATCCTAAACAACAAATAAACAGATATTATAAATAAATAAATGACTGAATGTGCTCAATAAAACAAAAAAAAACTACCTTAAATAATTAATAAATTAATACAGGCAGTCCTTGGTGAGTTTTGCCCCGTTTTACGGCCTTTCTTGCAACTGTTGTTAAGTGAATCACCACAATTGTTAAGTTAGTAACACGGTTGTTAAGTGAATCTAGTCCAGCCCCCTGCTCAGAATAACAGAATAAGAATTGAAAGGGACCTTGAAAGTCTTCTAGTCCAACCCTTTGCTCAGAATAACAGAGTTGGAAGAGACCTTAGAGGTCTTCTAGTCCAGCCCCCTGCTCAGAATAACAGAATAACGGAAGGCACCTTAGAGGTTTTCTAGTCCAGCCCCCCTGCTCAGAATAACAGAATAAGAATTGAAAGGGACCTTGAAGGTCTTCTAGTCCAACCCTTTGCTCAGAACAACAGAATTGGAAGTGACCTTAGAGGTCTTCTAGTCCAGCCCCCTGCTCAGAATAACAGGATAACAGAGTTGGAAGGGACCTTGGAGGTCTTCTAGTCCAGCCCGTTGCTCAGAACAACAGAGTCGGAAGTCACCTTAGAGACGAATCCCCTGCGTAGAATAACAGAACACAAGAGACGGAAGGGACCTCCGAGGTCTTCTAGACGAACCCCCCCCGCTCAGAATAACAGAGTTGGAAGGGACCTCGGAGGTCTTCTAGTCCAGCCCCCTCCCGTCGCGCTCCAGCGAAAGAAAGAAACGCGCCAAAGAAACCCACCCAGGAAGGAAGGAAGGAAGGAAAAGCAAGGAAAGGCACCAAGGCGCCCAGCCGTTCGCGAGGCTCACCTGGAGGTAGGCGCGCTGCAGGTAGCTGTAGGGCAGGCGGCGCTGGAAGTCGGCGCGCACCTCCTGGCCGGCGGCGGCGTTGGCGGCGGCGGGGCCGAGGCAGGCGCGGAGGCAGCGGGCGCGGCGGAGGAGGGCGCCGGCCGAGGGCAGCGGGTCGCGGCCGCCGGGCTCCAGCGGCTCCTCGCGGCGGCAGCGCAGCCCGCAGCCCGCCCGCCGCTCCCGCAGCCGCCGCTCCGCGCGCAGCGCCCGCTCCAGCCCGCGCGCAGCGCCCGCGAAGTCCCCGCGCTCGTGCGCCGCCAGCCCGGCCGCGTAGAGCGCCTCGAAGCCCGGCGCCACCGGCGCCACCAGCAGCAGCAGCAGCAGCGGCCGGAGCCCCGCGGCCATCCCGGGCAGGTGCCGCTCAGGAGCGGGGCGAGCCGGGCGCGCTTCCCCGGCGGCTCTGGCAACCGCTGCCCGGGCAGGGGGCGGAGGAAGAGGCGCCGCCGCCGCTGCTCCAGGTCCTTCGCCCGCTCGGCTGGGCTCTGCCGGAGGACTAGCGGCCGGCCGAGGATGGGGCCATCCGGGCGTCGCTTCTCTCCTCCCCTGGCCCGCCCCTTCAGCCCGGAGCCCCGATCGGGAAGGATCCCGAGGGATCGGCAGGGATCGCCGACCCTGCGCCCCGGATGGCGCTTGGCGGCCGGCGGGGGAATCGCTTCCAGAGCCCGACGGGGGACGAGAGGCGCTTCTCAGGCGCTGGAGGGCGAAGAAGGGGGAAATCCCCGCGCGGCAGACCTGGAGGTTTTGAAGAAGAGGGAGGCTGGGCAGCCCCTTGCCTCGAAGGGTGCGGGCGGGTCTCCTTTCTTGAGCAGGGGGTTCGACTAGACGACCTCCAGGGTCCCTTCCGGCTCTATTCTGTATGATTGATTGACAGATAAACAGACAGCGGACGGACAGACAGACAAATAGAAATGGTCCAGCGTCTCCTCCTTAAGTAGGGGGTTCGACTAGAGGACCTCCAGGGGCCCTTCCAGCTCTATTCTGTATGATTGATTGATTGACAGATAGACAGATAGATAGAAAGACAGACAGACAGACAGATGGATGGCCAGATAGAAATGGTCCAAGGTCTCCTCCTTGAGCAGGGGGTTAGACTAGAGGACCTCCAATGTCCCTTCCAGCTCTATTCTGTTTGTTTGTTTGATTGATTGATTGATTGACAGATAGATAGATAGACAGATAGACTGACGGATGGATAGATAGATAGACAGACAGCTAGAAATGGTCCAAGGTCTCCTCCTTGAGCAGGGGATTAGACTAGAGGACCTCGAAGGTCCCTTCCAGCTCTATTCTGTTTGATTGATTGATTGATTGACAGATAGATAGATAGACAGATAGACTGACGGGTGCATAGATAGATAGACAGACAGCTAGAAATGGTCCAGGGTCTCCTCCTTGAGCAGGGGGTTAGACTTGAGGACCTCTAAGGTCCCTTCCACTTGTACAGTTGATTGATAGATAGACAGATAGACAGACAGACAGATATATAGATTGAAATGATCTAGGCCAGGTCTCCTGCGTGAGCAGGGGGTTGGACTAGAAGACCTCCAAGGTCCCTTCCAGCTCTAGTCTGTTTGATTGTTTGCCATTTGATCCCTACAGTTAATCAGAGATAGGAGTTGGTAAAGGAGAGACCACAGGGAGATCCCTGGGGCGGCTGTAGGCTATTATTATCATTATCATTATCATTATTAAAACCCGACTTACAACAGTTCATTTAGTGACCGTTTAAAGTTACAATGGCACTGTAAAAAGAGACTTCGTATCGGGTTTTTTTTTCAGACTTACGACCGCTGCAGCATCCCCATAGTCACGTAATCAAAAGTTCTGGGTTCCATATTTATGACGGTTGCCATACCTCCTGGGTCATGCGACCCTGTGATTCCCCTTTTTGCAACCCCGTGGTTACATGACCATCATCTGTCTCCAGAAGTGTACACTCCAGCTGTGTTTACACAATCTCCGAATCAAGTTAATTACCAACTTGAAGGCTGCATTTATACAACAGCCGAAGCTGGGCTAGTTTTAAGCCAGGGGTCTTCAAACGTGGCCCTTTTATGACTTGCAGACTTCAACTCCCAGAATTCCTCAGCCAGTATGGGGGAACTGTGGCCCCTTCATGACTCGCGGACTTCAACTCCCAGAATTCCTGAGCCAGTGTGCCACACAAGTGGCTTTGTTTACTTCTTACCGAAACACGACACGGCACACGCACGCATTAGACTCACTTTTTTTCTTCAATTTATTTGTGTCCTCCTCATTGTAAAACAGTTGGTCACCTTACCCATGCTGGCTGAGGAATTCTGGGAGTTGAAGTCCACCAGTCATGAAGGGGCCATAGTTCCCCCACGCTGGCTGAGGAATTCTGGGAGTTGAAGTCCGCAAGTCATGAAGGGGCCATAGTTCCCCACGCTGGCTGAGGAATTCTGGGAGTTGAAGTCCACAAGTCATGAAGGGGCCATAGTTCCCCACGCTGGCTGAGGAATTCTGGGAGTTGAAGTCCGCAAGTCATAAAAGGGCCAAGTTTGAAGACCCCTGTTTTAACTAACTCCTGTTAGTTGCAGGCAGTCCTCATGACCACAACTGACCCCAAAATTTCTATTGCTAAGCAAGACAGCTGCGAAGTGGGTTCTGCCCCATTTTACGACCTTCCTTGCTACAGTTGTTAGGTGAATCATTGTACTGGTTAACTTAGTCACACGGTCGCTAAGTGAATCTGGCTTTCCCACGGACTTTGCTTATCTGAAGGTTGCAAAAGGGGATTACATGACGCCCCCACCCGGGATGCTGCGACCGTCATAAAAATACGAGTCAGTGGCCAAGCGTCCGAATTTGGATCACGTGACCCACGGCGATGCTGCGACGGTCATTAAGTGTGAAGAATGGTCGTTGTGACTTTGAACGGTCACTAAACGAAGTCAAGGGCTATTTGTATATGTATCCTCAGTAATTATTAGCAGACATGGTGCTTTTTTTGTCATAGAACACACCAGAACGGAGTTCCGGCACCTTTTTTTTAACAGATTTTCCAAGTTTTAAAAGGAACTTTTGAAAATTTGAGGTTTGGTCCACGCGGACTTGAATCGCCCTGTTGAGCATAGCAGGTTGGTGGCAAAATCATTAAATGCGGGCTGCTTGTGTGTTGAGTCCAATGCATGCGTACTTCGCCTGCGTTGGTTGTGATGGCGCTGCTCGGCTTGTGGCACTATTCGGCTTGTAATTGGTTGTGTGGTCATGCACTGAGTGCTTACTGCGGGCGGCGACCATTATGTTTCATTACATAACTGACATGTGGGGGTGTGTGTACAGTGATTGACTAAATAATAATAATAATAATAATAATAATAATAATAATAATAATAATAATAATAATTTGCCATTGACAAATTTGCCATTAGTCAATTGCAAAAGGTGGCCTTACTAGGAACTGCTTCCATCCTGCGACAATATCTATAATAACATCAAACATCCACATCTGCCTATCCCAGGTCCTGGATAAGGATAGGTAGACAAAAGGCCAAATCCAGTCTGAACATCTGGCTGACTGTGCGATGATCCATAATAATAATAATAATAATAATAATAACAACAACAACAACAACAACAACAACAACAACAATAATAATAATAATAATAATAATAATAATAATAATAATAATAATAATGTTGGAAGGAACCTTGGAGGTCATCTACTCCAACCCCCTGCTCAGGGAGGAAACCTTATACCATTTTGGACAAATGGCTGTCCAGTCTCTTCTTAAAAACTTCTAGTGTTTCTAGAAGCACCGCTTCTGGAGGCAGGTGGTTCCACTGGTTAATTGTTCTCACTGTTCGAAAGGTAAATAATTTCTTTTAAAAATTGTTGGTGAATTGAAAATCTTTTTTAAATTTTTAGGGTAAAAGTGTGACTCCAAATTTAAAAATGGGGGAAAAATGACTAATGACTTCTCAACCACCGGTCCTGCTAAGAATTGAACATATAATTTTTTTTTAAATAAAAGATGAACAAGATGTGAGTTCTGGCACCTTTTTTTCTGACCAAAAAATCACGGAGCAGACAGGGAGAAGGGAAGGGCGAGGAAGGGAGAGAAAGAAGCCAGCATGGTCCTCCTACTTAATTCCTCCAAGTTGGAAAACTAGAGAGGAAAACCGTTTGTAAAAGACGGGAAAAGGCCAGCTGGATCCCATCCTACGTAATTCCTTGGCAGTTTGGACTCAGCAGAGGTTGAAACGGAGAAGTCTAACGTGACTGTCAATGGGTCTGCGGCTGGCTGAGGAGGCTTGATGTCTCTCAGATGCCTCCCTTTTTACGTCCAAGACTTTTATGATTTATTTCTGGGGTGGAGGGAGGTGTGGAAGACCCTCGGTTCTGCTCAGGAGAGGCCCCTGAAGAGGCCAAAAGCAAAATTTTTCCAAGCTGTTGTTTGAAACGCAGGACCGAAAGAGATTGCAGAGGAGAAGGATCTATGTCCACCCAGCTGGGATGGTTTGGAGAAACATCTGCTAGAAATATTGGCTTTTTAGCTGCATCCGAGCCCATCCTGAAGCTGTACAGTCAGAGGCTGCATTAATAGAGGGAGAGCATCAAGATGGCGTGAGGTGTTAATATCACTTTACAAGGCCTTGGTAAGGCCACACTTGGAATACGGCATCCAGTTTTGGTCACCACCAGGACTTTTTTTCTCATAAAACACCCAGAACAGAGTTCTGGCATCTTTTTTGGATGGAACCTTGTAGGGTAGGCAAGGCGGGTTGTATGACGTGTGTGAGTTCCGGCACCTTTTTTTTTTTTTTTTTTTTAGAAAAAAAGCACTGGTCACCATGATGTAAAAAAGATGTTGAGACTCTGGAAAGAGTGCAGAGAAGATCAACGAAGAGGATCAGGAGACTGGAGGCTAAAACATGTAAGGAACGGTTGCTGGAGTAGGGGATGTCTAGTTTAATGAAGGGAAGGATGAGGGGGGACAGGATAGCAGCCTTCCAGTATCTCAGGGGCTGCCCCAAAGAAGAGGGAGTCAAGCTATTCTCCAAAGTGCCTGAAGGCAGGACAAGAAGCAATGGGTGGAAACTAATCAAGGAGAGAAGCAACCTAGAACTAAGGAGAAACTTCCTGACAGTTAGAA